CCCCCAGCCATGTCCAGAGCTCTGCCAGTCCCAGCAGGTGCCCAGGTTGGGACCAGTGCTCAGTGGGATGGTCTGGAGCCAGGCACAGACATGCCTGGGGCACAGACCCACATGGCCAGGGGCATGGATGTGCACACACGCATGGGGACACAGGCACAAACAAAGGCATGTGGGGCTACAGCAGTGCCAAGCCAGGGCAAGGGCTGCAGCCCTGTCACAGGCCATTTGACCACTAGGCTTGGGCAGCAGCACCTAAGTTGGGTGCAGAGGTGCCGGGGGCACTGTGGGCTCATGAGCTGCCCCAGCCAGGACATACCCACCAGGCAGGATGGTATCTGCAGACTGGGGCACAGGCATAACCAGGAGAGCTGGAGGACCTGCGAGGAGCCAGTGCCAGGAGCCCGGAGCGCTCAAGGGCTGCAGCCTGAGGCCCTGGCAGGGCACCCTGTGCCACAGCCCCTTCTGCAGGCACAGCCCCAGGGCAGGGCTCGGCTCCAGCTGCGGGGACAAGCGGAGGTGACGGCGTGGGGCCTGCACCGCTGACCATGCAGCAACCCTGCCAGAAACAGAGAGCTGCCAAACCCACGCAAGATCCATCTGCCCTAAATTAGTTTATTTTGCAAAATAATCTGTCAGGGCTGACTTAGACCAGAGCAGAACTGAGGAATTATCATCTTCTCTCATGGCTGCAGCCCAGCTCCACACACTTCCTCTGCAAGCCATTGCTGGAGCCTCCAGGGGATAGTCCCAAGACCTTTACTGCAGCCACTTCCCTGGGAGCCAGTGGCACAGTGGTGACCACCCCTGCGGGCTGGTGTCCTTGCGCACCGGTGCCAGCAGCACTGAGTTGAGCTGGCCTGGAGCACTGCTGCATGGTTCTCTGCTCCAGCGACAGGGTTTGGCAGGGACCTGACCCAGCACAGCAAACCCCGCTCCAGGGGATAGTCCCAAGACCTTTACTGCAGCCACTTCCCTGGGAGCCAGTGGCACAGTGGTGACCACCCCTGCGGGCTGGTGTCCTTGCGCACCGGTGCCAGCAGCACTGAGTTGAGCTGGCCTGGAGCACTGCTGCATGGTTCTCTGCTCCAGCGACAGGGTTTGGCAGGGACCTGACCCAGCACAGCAAACCCCGCTCTGCACTGACCCAGGCCAGCAGCATGTGGGGTCCTGCCCTGGGCTTTGTAACGACAGGGCATTAACACAGGAGGCAGCACGAACAACAGAGCCAAGCACTTAAAAAACCATTTAGTTTAATAGGTATAAAAGTCAATATTAAAGTACCAACTCTACAGAGGCATATGAGGTTGGACACTGGTATGGCTACACTGTGGACATCTTCACAGACACTCAAGCTAGATGCTCACACCAAGCAGCACTGCCGGCCAGCACGGGGCTCCGCATGGGATGGCACAGGAGATGGATTCACCAGCTGAGCTCGTGCTGCCAGGGAGCACTGGGCAGTACCAGAACGAGCGGCCCCAGACCCTGTGGCACAGCTGCAGCTACGGCTGCTGTGTACATGCCTGGTGCTTGGAAAGCACAGAGAGGAGGTATTGACCACAGCCACATGGACAGACAGCACAAACAGAGCTGCACCATTGCATGGGGCTGCCCGTGCGCAGGGAAAGCAGCAGTGCTGACAGCAGCTCCGGGTGCGAGGGCTGTGCCGGTGTCACTGCCCTCAGCAGGGCTGAGGGGGGACAGAGACCAGCCCTGGGCCACCAGGAGCTCATCTCTGGTACCTGTACTCTGCGAGGGGAATGGGCAACGCACGACCTGGCTCCATGGTCCTGGCTCTTGGGACTTGCTGCCATGGGAGTGGGGATGGATGCACCGTATCTCAAAGCGGGAATACTGGCCGAGGTCCTCGGAGTGCCAGTGCCTGGTCCCTCAGACTGCAGCAGCGCTGGGGCCAGAGTCCAGTCCAGGCTGGTGCAGAGGCTTTTCTCCTGTGGTGCAGGATTCCTCCGCAGTTTTCCCTTCCACGCTGTTTCGGATCCCATAGCCAAAGTAAATCATAAAACCTGCAGGGGAGTTTCCACAATGAAA